AAGAGATCGCTCAGCGAAAATGCAGAGTGTGCCCATACGCGTGTACCACGCCCATCACTAGGTCTTATTTCGGGTAGGGGCCTTATATTGTGCAAATGCTTAGAATCCTGCTAGGGCTTATTTTATGGTAGGTCTTATTTCAGGAAATACAGTAGGTATAAAATTTGGAGAAAACTTGAAACAGCAGCTGTTGTTCTTCTGTTAATTTGCCTGTTAAAAATGTTTTCTTCTGCTCATTATTATCCTTCTGAGTTAGCATTGCCTTTGACAATTTTCCCAAGGAAAGCAAAAGTTGTCAAGTGAATATAAATTAAAATGCCTAGGATAGAAAATGGAGTTGAGGAAGAGCAAGAATATAAAGGGGAAAGAGAAAGAATGATTGTGACTACATAGTGCTTAGACGCTCTAAGAATCTGTGTAAGCTATACTGAAAGAGGTATAACATGGCCTCATAACACAGAAGCCTGCACGTAGACCAGCTCGCCACTGTCTAGCTTTGTTTTTTCCTCATGCTTAATAATTTATTTTGATTAGATAATGCTCTTGTCATTTTCAGCTCTGAAATTCAGTAATTTGAAAAGGTACAAGCATTATTTCCCCAATGCTTCTTGACCTTCTGCTAATTTGATGTTATATGAAGATATAACATCAGCATCTCAGTACATATGTACAAATAGGAATACCTTTTTGTACATAGTTCTACTATCAACGATTATAATTCATGGAAAGACAAGCATGTCTTTTGAAATATACTAACAACAATTCCTTATATTATGCTAATTAACAGTCCATATTCAAATTTCACCAGTTGCTTAAAATCATTTACATTGAATTGTTTTAGTCAGATCTAATCATTGTTTATGTTTTATGGTTTCTGTCTAAAATATGTCTTCCCTTCTCTTTTTTTCTCCTTGCCTTCATGTCGCAGTCACATAGCAAGGGCCATGATGAACTAAGGTTCTCTGACTTCATTAGGTGTTTTCTACATACCAGTGGAAGAAGGGAAATGTTTCTTCCAGGGTCTCAAAGATTTGAATTGTATAGTTACATTTTGTTTAAATATTATAGTCAAGCATTTATCAAAATGAATTTCCATTAATTGTTTCATTTGGAAACACTTAGAGATTTCTGAAACAGACATTTAATCCAATGAAAAAATTGCTAACTTTAAGACTTTTCTTAAATCCTGGACTAAGAAGAGCATTAAATCAATCACTTTTTAACTTTAAAGATGAAAATCGTTACTTTTAGGTACCTGAAATTCTGTAGGATTGCTAAGCATAGGTTAAGTTAAAAAATCAGTAGAGACCTTGGTTATATTTTGAATTTGAACTTTGTCATTTCATAGAAGGTCATAATTCTTCCATCTTCTCAAAAAACAGCATAGCACTACTGAACAATTAAGCTGTCATTTGCTAGTATTATAATTTGTTGTGTTCTTGGTAAAAATATATTGAGATACATAACAAAGGTATTATTATTTATGTAGATGTTTTCTTTATTTCTTATTGTCAATTATCTATAGGTATCCTCCCTACCTTGGGATCTGTGTCAATCTCTCCTTGAGTTTCTTTTCTTAGACTCCAAAGAAAAGTTCACTCTCAGGTACCCAAGGAGGTCTGGTAATACTGTAAATGAGTGAAATGTATCACAGGGATAAGGGACTGGGGCTTTTTGTAAGGGACAATTGTGGTAAATCCAGGCAGTTTTTATCATGCAGGATTATGGACTTGGTATTCCTCTTGGAAGCTGGAAATGTAGATTGATGTAGATAATGCATGATTCAGAGTGCTGTATGGGCCAAATAAAACACATCTACAGACAGAACTTGACCTACAGGCCACCAATTTGAAACCTCTGTCCTAAACTCAGGAGGCCCAGATTTAATTTCTTATTGCCATCAACTTTAAATGAAACATTTTTGAATGGATAAAGAAAGTAAAGAACTACCATGCTTTCTCATTCAGAAAAAGCTGCTGTATTGAGGAACTAGTCCACTATCCTAAGTGAAGTATCTCAGGAATGGAAAACAAATACCACATGTTCTCACTAAGAGTGGGACTAAACTGTAGGTACATGTGGGCACAAAGAGATGTAAAGGACATTGGAAACCAGAAGGGGGGAAGATGGGACAGGGGAGAGGGATAAAAACTTACCTATTGGGTACAATGAACACTACTCTGGTGACAGGCACACTAAAAGCCCTGACTCTAGCATTATATAATGCATCCATGTAACAAAAACATTTGTACCCCATAATATTTTCAAAAATTTTTTAAAAGCTGCTATACGCTTTTCACCACTGTTATATTCCCCCTGCCCCCGACAATAAAGAAAAAAAAGCTGCTGCAGAGTACCCAGTTTACTGATGTACTGGTAGTAGAAGACAGGATAAAAGGTAGAGCTCTTACATATATTACCAACCTAGTACAGAGGCCTTTTTGATTTCTAATGCAGAGGAACATGGAAGGTAGCACAGATGTAACTTGTTTGTAGAAAGAAGAAGAGATAACTTTGACACCTTTTCTTCCCATTCTAAAGAGTTAATCTAGGCCGGGCGCGGTGGCTTACGCCTATAATCCTAGCACTCTGGTAGTCTAAGGCGGTGGATTGCTCAAGGTCAGGAGTTCAAAACCAGCCTGAGCCATAAATAGAAAGAAATTAATTGGCCAACTAATATATATAGAAAAAATTAGCCAGGCATGACGGCGCATGCCTGTAGTCCCAGCTACTCAGGAGGTTAAGGCAGCAGGATTGCTTGAGCCCAGGAGTTTGAGGTTGCTGTGAGCTTGGCTGATGCCATGGCACTCACTCTAGCCTGGGCAACAAAGTAAGACTCTGTCTTAAAAAAAAAAAAAAGAGTTAATCTATGAGTATCCTTCCCCAACTGTATTGCATAAGAATGGTTAAGAAGCAGTATTATAGAGGTTACTAAGATACATTTTGAAGATTTACCTACATGAATTCAGTTAGCTCTTTAATGGAAATTCCATTGTGGCTATGGTAGCCATTATCAGACTCTCTGCAGCAATAATCACCACCAAGTGTTTTTAGTCCTCCATTGAGTATAAACTCTACTTTCAAGTTCCCATGTAAATTCACATGTAAGGCCGTGAGAAGGATCCGCCTTTTTCACTCAAGGAACAGTTGTGTGAGTTTATTCTGTTATCTTATTTTCTTAGGTCAGATCATAAAAATACTATTATAAATAGAGCAAGCTTTTTTTTGAGACAGAGTCTTGCTCTGTCTCCCAGGCTAGAGTGCCATGGCATCAGTCTAGCTCACAGCAACTTCAAACTTCTGGCTCAAGGGATCCTCCTGCACCTGCCTCCCAAGTAGCAGGGACTACAGGCATGTGCCACCATTTCTGGCTAATTTTTTCTATTTTTAGTAGAGACAGGTCTCGCTTTTGCTCAGGCTGGTGTTGAACTACTGACCTGAAACAATCCTCCTGCCTCAGCCTCTCAGCATGGTAGGATTACAGGCGTGAGCCACCATGCCTGGCCTAGAGCAAGCTTTAACTTGCTCTAGGGTTTGTGCTTAACATGAAGTACGTGTCACCCTCCAACTTTTTGGTTGTACAAATTAGGGTACCTACAACAAATCCCCATGCATTTTCTCCTGGAACTCTTTTCTCACCTTACACTCCTCATACATTTTGAAAGCACAGAATCAGTGTAAGGATGTACATTTTGGAATCAACCAATAGGACTGAATTATCAAAGATTTTTGCCAAATTGCTTAAAGAGCTAGGCATTTATGGATTAATGATCATGGGTTTTGAATTGCAGGCCTTTATAAAGTCAGCTTGAAATGTCTGCATGCTATTTTTCCCAACTTCCCTGGGGTGAGCATTTACATTGATCAGTTACTGCACACATTCAGAAATGGGGTTATACTGATACTAAGATCAATAGCGGGAAAAACATTGGCAGAGAGACTCAAAATTGCAGTAAAGTGAACCTGCATTTTAAGAATCCAGGCCGGGCACGGTGGCTCATGCCTGTAATCCTAGCACTCTGGGAGGCCGAGGCAGGTGGATTGCTTAAGGTCAGGAGTTCAAAACCAGCCTGAGCAAGAGCAAGACCCTCGTCTCTACTAGAAATAGAAAATAGAAATTAATTGGCCAACTAAAAATATACAGAAAAAATGAACCGGGCATGGTGGTGCATGCCTGTAGTCCCAACTACTTGGGAGGCTGAGACAGAAGGATCGCTTCAGCCCAGGAGTTTGAGGTTGCTGTGAGCTAGGCTGACGCCACAGCACTCTAGCCCGGGCAACAGAGTAAGACTCTGTCTCAAAAAACAAACAAACAAACAAATCCAAAGACAAGATTACCTACCTGGACATCAGAGAAAGTGGCTCTCTCTGTTTTCCTATGGGTGCAGGGAGTGAGGGCTGAGTGCCCAGACTATTCCTTCTGTTCCTTTGCCCAGGTTCATCCCCCCACAGAGATGGGGGAAACTCCTTTATGTTATTCGTGGGTATGAACAGTCTCCAATTTCTTCTGTATCTTGAGTGTGCTTTTCCAGGTCTCAAATGAACATGATGGTATTTTCTAATCCCAAAGATGATCTCCATGCTTACCATTTCTGTAAGGAACAAGAGATCTTGAGGAAGTCATATCACCAGTAGCAAATACCAGAAAAAGGCACAGGTCTTAATCCCAAGTGACATATAAATTAGGTATCAGTAAGATTATAGCTACCCATATTTTGTGATTTGTGTAATAATTCATGAAAAATTGCTCATAAAATGAATGTTTTATAAATGAAATTTTATAAATCAAATTATAATAGCATTGAAATTGTCATTTTAAAGAAATCTTCCTGGGAATGCTCTGTGAAATGAACCACCAACTCCTAATTTATTTGCCTGGTAAATGTTAGGTTTGCCTAATATAAGATATTCTCCTATTTCCAAGGTAAGAACAGGTACTGCAAATATTTATCTCTCCATAAATGCTAATTAGAGCATTGGAGCTAGTTTTGAGGCTTCACATTGATAAAACTATTATGATTTTGAGCATGATAATAAAGACAGAGAAGGAAAAGTTGGAGGAATGGGGTCATTCAATTTGGGACGAAAAGCACAAAAGCAGAGGTGAGGAACCTTTTCATGTTGGAAAGCCACATTAATTTTGCTATAATCAAATGAGGCTGCATTCAAGAAACTTCAATTAGATATACTTAAAAATGTATAATATTTTATAAAATTTATGTATTTAATAATTTCAAAAAATGAAAACTATTAATTTTAATGACTTTTTTAGGTCTACTTTTTGTTGGAAAGCTCTTGAATATTTGGTTGAAGCATGGAGATCTGCAATTTCAGTTGATCCTCTACATGGGTATTAGTCATTTGTGACCTTAAGGGTGTCTTGACTTGGGTTAGGTAGAAGAATGTAGATTTGCATCAATAAGTGGTTGAAAAGCAATAAAGTATTTTTTGGGCATGTTGCCAAAGGCATGGGTATTCTGCATTTTTCCATATTTCAGCTGGATCTTTCTTACCATTAAACAATGACTTTAAAATGTCATCTACTGAGAGCTCAATCAATTCCATGTAGTTCTTTAGATTCCTTGGTGATATCAACTAGATGAAGCTGAAATGCTAATTTGAGTGTGATGTCATGATTCTCAAAGTCAGTGAACCTTTCATTGTATTCTCCAATAAATAGGTCTATAATAGCTATGTATTCTTCAAATGATTCTCTTATATCATCCTGCTCATCAGTGACCTTTGCTAACTGGGGAAAATGTTCATCCAAAATTTCCTTTTGAAGAAGTGTTTTGAAAAAAGATAGCTTTTTTTGCAATGCTTGGACTTTTTGCCACATATCATATATAGACTAAGTTTTACCTTGCAAAGAAATATTCAAGTTGATTTGACATGATATCATGCAGAAATCTTGCATTCCTATAGAAATCTTCTTTCAATAATTCATATTGCTGATTCCATTCTACATAAAATTTAATTATCTGTTCACACAGAGATAAAATAGTGGCTAACATCTGTCCCTGGGATAGCCAATGCACTTTCAAATGATAAGGCAAATCCACACCGAATACCTCATTGTTCAACTTTAGAATGTTACAAAACTGATGATGCCATGTGGCATTTGCAAGAGTATATGGTTAATAGTATTATAACTTGTTGCAAAGTGTCACTTAAAATAGTAACTTTAGCACTGAGATTTTGCTGATGAAAGAAAAGTAGATGAAAGAAAAGTAGATGAAAGAAAAGTACAATGAAAAGAAAGTAGAGAATCTGGATCTGTTAATACTTTTTTTTAACCTGTGCTATAAACCTTTCATGTTTTCCTGTCATGGAAGGTGCAGTGTCTGTACATACACTCACTAAATTTCCAAATTCAGTGCAACTTCACATTTATCTTGAAAGTTGTTGAAGATATCCATACCCTATGTTCTGTTCTCAAGAGTGCCCAAAGTAAGTAACTCTTCATAGCAAAGAAAATCTTCGGTTATGACCCAAATGAAGTATAAAACTTGTACTGAGTCAGCACTATCAGTTGATTTATCCAAAGTGATCAAATAATATGTATTTTCCTTTTGAAATACTGCATGAGGTTGTTCTGTTAAGTTGAAAGCCATTTCTTGCTGCCAGTTATGGTTCTTCTTGAAAGAGGCAGTTGTTTGCACTCTGAAACATTATTGGTGTCTAAGCATCCTTCAATTTTGACAATGCATTCTTTCACAATTTCTACATCACTGAATGGCGCTCTCTCCCACCCCCCAGTACATAAGCTATTTAAGTTGTTTGGGCCAGGCGCAGTGGCTCACGCTTGTAATCCTGCACTCTGGGAGGCCAAAGCGGGCGGATCGCTCAAGGTCATGAGTTTGAAACCAGCCTGAGCAAGAGCGATACCCTGTCTCTACTAAAAAAAAAAAATAGAAATTAATTGGCCAACTAAAAATATATAGAAAAAAATATATATAGAAAAAATTAGCCAGGCATGGTGGCGCATGCCTGTAGTCCCAGCTACTCGGGAGGCTGAGGCAGGAGGATCGCTTGAGCCTAGGACTTTGAGGTTGCTAGGCTGATGCCACAGCACTCTAGCACAGGCTACATAGAGAGTGAGACTCTGTCTCAAAAAAAAAAAAAAGACCTTTCTTGGTTAGGATTTACTAGACTGTAATGCCCATTTGACTCGGTAGATGGCGGCAGAGATCCCAGCCAGACCTTAGTGATTTGAATTGTTTTTGTGGGGAAGAAGTGAGGTTGGTTCTATTGTTTCTAGTCATATTTTTTAAATACAGCATTCTGGTTGGAAAGCTTGGACAGCTGGAGGACCATTCTTGGGTGATTTGTGTTCTTAAAAATATAGTCCTTTAAAGAAAAAAACTATTCTGCATTAAAGTATTTAAAAATTGTAACACTTTCTCTTTTTGAATGTTTAGTCAAAGCAGGGAGGAGGGTGGGGTGAGTGGGGTGAGTCTGGCCTGGGGAGGAGGGCTTTGTTTTCTAGACATAGGATTTCTTTTCAAGGCACTTCAAAGGCCCCATTGTAGTAGGATCCTACTGGTTCTGCAGTGATCCCACACTGTCAGAAGCCTGAGCAGGCCCTCCTGGCCTGGCTGACTTTCTGTTTGTGCTGCTTTGGGTTGAAGCACAGGCTGACTGAAAAGTTGTTGCTGATGCCATAACTATAGCTTTGAAAAATGTTGCCATGCCCAGTCTATTCTTCAGGAAAGTAAGAAATGTAAACTTAAGAATATCTCAAGCTGATCAGCTTATTGCCAGGTTGTGGGGAGTCTGTTTTCCCAAAATCACTGACATGGTTTCAAAACTAATTGAAGAGGGTACCTGGTTACTCTGCTTATACAGTGTTCAGCCCTTGATTCAAAGTGGAAAAGTGAGATTATTACAGAATTGAAAAGAAGAGGCATCTCTTTCTGCCTATAAATATGACCCTGACTTAGGAAGTAATTCTAAGACTTCCTCATTATTTTTGGACCAGGCCTGTGGGCTCACAGACTCCCACCTCACACATAACTTTTGGAGGGAGCCTAGGAGTCAAGATTAAGCTTGCTCTCACCTCACAGTTGGGGTTTCACTTGTCCTTTTTGTTCCTTAGCTCTGACTCCATCAAAAAACAAGAAAGGCCTGTAATCCTAGCACTTTGGTGTGGTGGGGGGACAGTTTGCAGATTGCTTGACCCAGTAGTTTGAGACCATCCTGGGCAACATAGTTAGACCCTGTTTATAAAAAAAAAAAAAAAATTGTTTTTAATTAGCCGGGCATTGTGGCTCACACCTGTAGTCCTAGCTACTCAGGAGGCTGAGGCAGGAGGATTGCTTGAGCCAAAGAGGTCAAGGATGCAATGACCTATGATTAAGCTACTGCACGTCAGCCTGAGGGACAGAGTCAGATCCTGTCTCCAAAACAAACAAAAAAATGATAGTGAGCTTATGGTCAAGCAGCTCATAATTTCTCCAGGCCAATTGAGTGTCTAGAGGAGGAGAAACAACAATGCCTGAAGATTCGTGGAGAGATAAATTCATTTAGGAGAACATAGAATTATTTTTTTGTTGTTGTTTTTATTATTTTATTTTATTTTTTTGAGACAGAGTCTCACTCTTTAGAGTGGCCTGGTGTCAGCCTAGCTCACAGCAACCTCAAACTCCTGGGCTCAAGCAATCCTTCTGCCTCAGTCTCCCAAGTAGCTGGGACTACAGGCATGCAGCACCATGCCCAGCTACTTTTTCTAAATATTTTTAGTTGGCCAATTAATTTCTTTCTATTTTTAGTGGAAACAAGGTCTCATTCTTGCTCAGGCTGGTTTCAAACTCCTGGCCTTGAGCGATCCTCCTGCCTCGGCCTCCCAGAGTGCTAGGATTACAGGGATGAGCCACCACGCCCGGCCTAGAATTATTTGTAAGTCAGGGTTTCTCAACTTCAGCACTACTGACATTTTGAACTGGATAATTCTTTGTTGTTTGAGGTGTCCTTTGTTCTAAAGGATGTTTAGTAGCATTCTGGCTTCTATCCACTAGATGCCACTTACTGTCCCCATCCCAAGAAAAAAACACACTGTCTAGTCATGACTATCAGAAATGTCTCCAAACCACGCCAAATGGTTTAGATAAACTGGTCAGGTGTGGTGGCTCACACCTGTAATCCTAGCACTTTGGGAAGCCAAGGAGGGAGGATTGCTTGAGCCCAGGAGTTTGAGACCAGCCTGGGCAACATAGCAAGATCTTGTCTCTACAAAAAATTAAAAAATTAGCTGGGTGTGGTGGCATATGCCTGTAGTCCCCCAGCTACTCAGGAGGCTGAGGTGGGAGGTTTACTTGAGCCCAGGAGTTTGTGAGTGAGCTATGATGATGCCACTGTACTTTAGCCTGGGCAACCAAGTGAGACATTGTATCTAAAAAAAAAAAAACAAAATTCTGCCAATCCACAGTTAAACATAATAACTACTGAGTGGTTCTTTGGCAAAGAAGGTAAAAGATAGCAAAATAAGTAAATATACCTCCTTTTTTTTTTTTTTCCTCTGGTATAAATTATTTGCCATGCAGATCCAGAAAGCATCCTGAGCTTAAGTTCAGGGAAACAAACAAATAAGACAGTGCTTATCAACTCATAACTCGGACATATAAATATCTCAAGGATTCTTGATAAGAAAGAAGTCACCAATATGCTCAGATATCTCTCATAGGCAGAGGCATATCACCCCCAAGCATGAGCTGCCTGCCTTCTCTGCAGCCCCCATCAGCCCTGCCACCACTTTGTTCCCTGGGGCACATTGGCTTCTTTGTTCCTAGGTTTAACCTTTCTTCTTCCCATCTTTCTATCCCTTCTGTCTCTTCAGTTAGGAGTGCAGTCAGTCTCCAGGCTGTGAGAATGCCTACTTTGAAGAGTGGGAACCAAGGGAAGGGCCCTTGGTGGCTTGTAGATGGTGATGTGTTACTGTGCTGGAGTGCTGTTTGCCACAGAGGATGAAAAAGGTAGCTCTAAGAGTGAGAAACTGCCATAGCCAACTGAGCAACATTCAAACCAAGGTTTTGTTTTGTGCCCTTTATGGAAAGCCACAGAGATGATGATAGGATTGAGAGCATGACCTTTTGCCAAAAAGCTAGTGGGAAATGGGATTATTCACCTTGAAGAAATATTAAAGATAAACCATAAAGGGTCATTTAACAGAAAACCTCATAAATGTTTTCTACCTTTGCTTAAGATAACAAAAAGAAATTAACGTGGGATGTGAGAACTTTTAATTATTGCAGTGGGCCACCTGATGGCTCACGCCTGTAATCCTAGCACTCTGGGAGGCCGAGGCAGGAGGATCTCTTGAGGTCATGAGTTTGAGACCAGCCTCAGCAAGAACGAGACTCCATCCCTACTAAAAATAGAAAGAAATTAGCTGGGCAACTAAAAATAAAAAAAAAAAAAAATTAGCCGGGCATGGTGACAGACACCTAACCTAGTCCCAGCTACTCAGGAGACTGAGACAGGAGGATCACTTGAGCCTGGGAGTTTGAGGTTGCTGTGAGCTAGACTGACACAACAGCATTCTAGCCCGGGCAACAAAGTGAGACTCTGTCCAAAAACAAAAAAAAAAAAAATTATTGCAGGGGAACATTTTTGATAGTTAAGGTTTATCAGCTTTATAAGGAGTGCCAATACCAAGGGAGATTTTGGAGTCTTCTTTAAAGGTCGTTAAGAATTGCCTGTGCCTATATTTGGCTGACTGGTCAAGGCAGGGTATGGTGCTGCAAGGGAAGAGATGCCTGTCTCAGTCCCTGCTTTGGTGCTTGGATGGCCCAATGCATATGTTACGGTTGACAGTGAGGAGACACCTAACTTTATTCTCTAAATAAGGACTTGGGCAATGTTCTTTCACAGATGTGAATTACCTGACCAGATTCAACAGGTGGAGGTCTTTCTCACTGCCTTCAAGGGGCTCTGCACATTACTTAATAAGTAGTGTTGTGGATTGGGCTCCCCCAAAGCTGACTGTGAGATGGAGATTCGTGTGCATGCTGTTCATTACTCAGCGCTCTTGGTATCAACACCATGGAAAGGAAGGGAAGAGAACAGGATTGGGCAGAGGGAGAAGCTCTGCTCTGAAGCAGTCCCAACGAAGACCTCAGCTGACCACATGGAGTGCTCTGAAGGGTCCTCCTGAGGTGCCCTCACTTGGGGCAATGGGGCAGAGCCTTTACACTCTGTGGGTGAGTCGCTGGGTGGGGGCTGCCACCAGAAGAAGGCATGACCCTGGGCGGTGGTTTCCTTCAAAAGGTTTTCCTTTTGGGCACTCCCCAAAAAGGGCTGATGGCTGAGGGTCTTCTTCTGGCAGCTCTTCCACCATGTGGGGGAATAAACCCTTCATTCGTGAAAGAGGACCCAGGAGTATGATAGCATCCACTGCAAGCAGCTTCCCCTGGGTTCTACTCAAGTCTGAGTCTTGCCTTCATCCCCTACTTATTTGCTCAGGGAGCATTTTTCCTCCTCTAGGAACATATTCCCCTCACCCTCATTCCCATCCAGCCCTTTGCCACCCCAGTACATGGAGTAAATGCAGAGTCACAGATTCTGTTTTATTCTTTCCTCCCTCCCTCTCTCCTTCCTCGTCTTCCTCATTTCCCTCCTTCAACTCTCATCAGGCAGATTCACAGCCTCGTGACAGCCAGCCTAGATGGCAAGCTAAATGGCAAGCTGATTTCTTCCTCTTTGCAGAGTTTCCGTTACTCCTTAGTGGCTGCATACTCCTGCTCTGTCCTCTGCACATGCCTGTGGATGAATTCCAGGCAGCAGTGCAGCCGACAGACGCTGGACCCTAAACCGGAGCCGGGGCAAGCTGAGGCACGAGCTCTTGGGACTTTGATCAAGGCCTGTTTCCTCGATTCGCTCTCTAAAACAGAGCGGCCTTACGAACTGAGTGATCTTCAACACCCCTTCTCAATCCAGCATTCAATAACGTTCTGATTTTAATAATTTTCACAAAGGGAAATGGCAACAAAAGGGATGCCAGGTTCCCTGTTTAGTCTTTGCTTTTTATCTCTCCCACACAGAATACTAGAATCTCCTTTCCCAAACAAATGTGAGATGTGGGATTAATGATGGCGTAGTCTGAAGTGTTTGGGGAGTGAAGTTTTAAAATCCCTAGAACATTTTGTAAACCAGTCTGAGTTGAAATCAGAAAGTTCTTAGCAGCCTGTCTTGTAGCTGCACCTAGGCTGTCTTCAAGGCTGTGGTGTGGGGTTAAGTGGAGGTGAGTCAGGACTGGTGTTGGGTTGCACAGGGGAGCACACTGCAGTGAGAGACGTTTCCTGTGGTGTCATTCTCCTGGCCGCCTTCCCCTTTTCTCAGTCTATGTGGGTTTAGCTATCACTGTTGGTATTTTATGTAGCAATTTTTTTTTTTTTTGCATGAGGCTTAGCCAGGGTAAACAGTGACCTTTTTGAAGGAACTCAGGTTCAGAGAGCCCAGGTAAAGACCCTTCAGATTGTCCTTTCTGCTCCAGGCTGGTTGTCTAATTCAGTAATGACAGACTGTGATAAAAGAGTGGCATAGAGTAAAGCTAGCACAGAGGTGGAAGTTGGAGAGAAAAGGCTAGTGGAAAAGTGAACTTGGCTGTTCAGAGAGCAAAACTGAGCTTATTTGCATAGTAACTCAGGTGCGGTTACGGTTACTTATTTACGAAGCAGACTTCCTCTGAGGTGTGGAAAATAGGCTAGCTGTGAACCTGATCCCGGCCCTGGAATGTTCAAGGTCAGCAGGCAGAGCCCAGCAGGGACCACCTCTGCCCTCCAACCCTCCCATTTCACCTCTGTAATTCCCTGTGGAAGCAGCAGAATCCTAAACGTCTGCTCCTTGTCTTCCCCCACCCATGAGACTGTGAGATCCTGAGAGCAAGGACAGTGCTTGGCCACCATTGTTTCCCCTGGCAGATGGCAGGCCTTCAATAAATAAATGGGTAATGAATGAGCATCAGAGCAACCTGCTGAGTGACTTGGCAGGGAAGGTTGCAGCAAGCCGGGAGTTGGAAGAAGGTAAACATAAAAGAGGAGGAGAGGTTTTGGATCTCCCAAACTAGACACTCACTCAGGAGTGAGAGGAGGAAGTAATGTCCGAGCCTGAGGGACGGAAGCAGCACCATTTGAAGAATGGGTCAGCTGTAGACATATGGTAGGAGAAAATCCTAAACAAACTTGACCTAGTTCCAAGTACGCGGGGCCCGAATTCTCCAGAACAAGGCAAAACACAAAAACAAAACCTAAAAAAATGCTTACACCGAACAGCAATTCCCCCAGACTCACTATGGTGCCCTAGTTACACGGCAGAAAGAACAAAGAAGTGATTTAAGCATCTTGAAATTGAAATAGCTACTGCCAAACACTAACGGATCAGCAGAATCATTAGATTCCAGAAAATGCAGAACCTCTGAGGCCTCTGTATTCTTCCATCCTGATGTCAGATTGCTGGCAGCCCACGCTGAGCTGCTTTATAAGAATGTGTAGCGAGGCCACTGCCTCTAGAAGGGTGAGGGGAGGAAGGAAGGGCAAGCTCACCTTGCTTGGAATCTGGAAGTTCTGTGTTGCAGATAAGTTAACCAGCATTGGACATTGTCGTCTCTCTGCTTCCAGTGATGAACGAGGTCAAGGCTGGCCCTTTCAGTGGATTAGACACAGATGTGGATGTCTCTGAGTATATATATCAGTCAGGGGCCTGACAAGAAAACAGAATTGATCCCAGATAGTTTCTATAAATAGACTTTAATAAAGGGATTATTAACAGGGAGGTGGGCAAGATTAAGGGAATAAATAAGGAAAGTTGAGGTACCCAGAAGCTTCCATTAGTTGGGAGAGTGACAGGAGGAAGGAAATCTCAGTACACGAACCCTGAGAGCTGGCACTGTGGCGTGGGCCTCCATGGGAGCCGTCATCACGCAGGGACGCAGGGACATGGCTATTGGCTGCTGTCACAGAGAGGGCACCAAAGCAAAGAGGAAGTAGGAAAGAAATACCCTGCCCATCGTTCCTGCTGGGTGCCTCCCCCTGTCCGAACTGACGTATTCCTCAGGGGCAGCGTCTGGCCGAGAAGGCATGAAGGTGGACCAGGTGGAGAGCGGCCAGTAAGACGCTGGCAACTGACAAAATTGCCATGTACCATGTATATTTGTTTGTTTGTTTTTGGGTTTTTTTTTTTTTGAGACAGAGTCTCACTTTCTTGCCCAGGCTAGAGTGAGTGCCTTGGCATCAGCCTAGCTCACAGCAACCTCAATCTCCTGGGCTCAAGCAATCCTTCTGCCTCAGCCTCCCATGTAGCTGGGACTACAGGCATGCGCCACCATGCCCGGCTAATTTTTTGTATATACATTTTTAATTGGTCACTTAATTTCTTTCTATTTTTAGTTGAGACGGGGTCTCGCTCAGGCTGGTTTCGAACTCCTGACCTTGAGCAATCCACCTGCCTCGGCCTACCAGAGTGCTAGGATTATAGGTGTGAGCCACCACGCCCGGGCAATATATATTTTTAAATATTTCATGTAGTTTCTTATATACTACTACCTCACTTAATCTTCAAAATTAGTCTATAAGGCAGGCTGAACCAGGGGCTCCTGGGAACATCAGGGGCTGACGGGCACGGTGCACACTCATGACAGCAGGCATGTTCCAGCTGCTGAGCTGAGAAGAGGGGGCTTGAGCTGGAACCCGTCGTTGGGAGCTTCAGGCCAGAGGGGCTCTAAACACCAACGGGAATGGGAGTCACTGAGGCAGTGACTGTGACTGCTCTCACAGTGAGTCCGTTCTCGTCAGCCCTCATGATCCCCCCACGTTCACACTTTCTATCCTGAGTGTAGGGAGGCTGTCGTCTGCTCCCCAGGCAGCCCTGTGTGGGGAAGAGTCCCGTGGGATGCGGTGGGAAGTGACCACACTCTGTGGAGGGAGGAGCAGGCGGTCCGCTACTGCCATCTCTGAGGGAGGAAGGGGAAGCAAGAAGGTCCTGGCAGGGCGTGTGGGCAGGGGTGAGGGGTGCGTGGCCTACACTTTGTGACTCTAGCTCCTTGCAGGTGTGAATCTCTGACCAAGGGGTTAGGACGGCGCATGTGCAAGCTGGAGTGAGTGACACCCCAGTGACTTGGGGACAGCAGGCAGCAGACACTGGCATCCGGTCTACTTTACCGTAAGGTGATCCAGGCAGGAGAAAACATTTGATCTGAAGTGCAAGTTCTTATCACCAAATAAATATTTCATCATTTGAGTCCCCGCTGAGCCGATGCAGGGACAGGGCTTCTGTGCATGCCTGAGTCCTCTGCCTCCTCTCAGAAGTCAGAGACTCCTGCCCAGGGAAGGGGGAGGAGGAGGGCCTGGGGCTAGGCCCTTGGAGGAGGTGAGACTGGGTGGGTCAGGAGACTGCCCAGGGGCCAGGATTCCCCTTCCATGACCTCCACTGGTGTGCCTAGTCACTCAGCTAAGTCACCTTTCTTCGCCTTAGTTTTCTTAACTGCAAAATGGAGATGATTTTCCAGCCCAGCTCTAGTGCTCCTTTCTTGTTGCAAAGATCAAGTGCCATAACACGTGAAAACATTTGGGAAGGCAGAAAATGATATAGCAAATACACCAATTGTTAATACTGACCATGTCTTTTCAGAAAATGCCCCTCAGGGGTCTAAACCATAGCTGAGCTGCTTGCATTCATTCATTTAACAGATTTATTGAGCACCCGCCGGATGCCAGGGGCTTGTTTTCTGTCTTATGGATCGACAGAGTTCTTTGTACATTCTTCTCCACTCAGCAGGCCTGACCTTTAGAGATTTTATTTTAACCTCTGCTCTCTGGGTTGACAGGGAGTATAAAAAAAGTCGAATGCTTGTCAACGAATGTGGGGAATATATTGGCGGAAAAGAGATTTCAACGCCTCCTGCTCATTCCCTTTAGACTTATTGGTTCTGCCTTTTTGCCTAAGGAGCTGCAGGCTGGGCCCGCAGTCTGCAGGCACCATGGCAACCACGCAGGTCTGCCACCGGGGAGTTCATGTCAGGTTGTGCCTCACAGTCATCAGCTGCAGGCTCCCTCTCTGTGAGGTGGAGGAGAGGGGAAGAGAGGCGGGTGTAGTGGATACAGCTCGGGCAGGTGCTATCCAGAGGGATGCATTTTCACTTTCAATGGCAGCTCTGCCTGCTGGGACCTCTGCAGGCCAGGCCCCAGTATGGACAAAGGCACAGATGCCAGGCTTGGGTTATTAAACACTGGGATGCCCTGCCAGGATGTTACCATGTTTCCCCAAAAATATGACCTACCCATAAAATAAGCCCTAGCAGGATTTCTAAGCATTTGCGCAATATAAGCCCTACCCCGAAAATAAGACCTAGTGATGGGCGTGGCTACGCAGCGTGTCTGCACAACCCATGCATTTCATCACGGAGCAGTAAAGAAGACGAGCAGCCCTTCTCATCTGCCCCATTGTGACAGCTGCTATCCCAGAGGTGACCCAAAAGGTGCAGGCAGCCCCAACAACAAGGTCGGCTCCCCGTCAGCTCCCGACATCCTGTGCGTGCCGCAAGCTGAGGCTTTGAAGGGAAAGTCTCCTCAGTGAAGTGAGGAGTGGACGCTCTGCTTTAGGTATCGTGTGTCCCCAGGGGAAGAAGGAAAGCTGTGGCTGCCATTGTACTCAGCACTGTGGGCCTCTCTCACCGCCCCCCAAACACCAGGGGATAGGGGAATAGCTTCAGCAAGCAGTCTCCTACTGAGCCCAGAGTGATCATTTCTGCTCCACTGAGGCAGTTCAGAATTCCCTGCCTGTCCTGAAGGGGAACCTTCCTGAGCAGGTCCCAGATAAACCACACACTGCCTCAGTGTCCCAGCCCCATTGCTTCTGGGGGGGTAATATTTTGTTGTTCCTTTCTTTAGTTCATAGATCAACCCTCCTACAGCATTCATATCCTGCTAGGACATGGTGGACACCCAGCAGAGGCCTGGATTATCTGATGAAACCAGCCCCGGTCCAGAAGAAAACCATTTGCAAAGTATCACTAAATAAGCCTAGAATAGTGTCCTTACTGTAACAGAATAGGAAAAGAAATGGAGGACAGGTACTTGAGAACTTGGTGTCACTTGGTACTTTCAAAATATGCCCCAACTCAAGGATCCTGAGTGCTGGTGAGAGAGACAGAGCCAGGTGCTTGCTGTGGGCCCTCCCACTGTCTCACTCCTCCCAGTGGAAGGAAGTCAGTGGAGTCTCACATACTTAGCAGCAGGCCCTTGTCTGCCAGGAATTTGTGCTTCTGCATCTCTCATCTTCTATTGTATTTTCTTCTCATCCCCAAACCAACATCTTTAAGTAAATCTAACCTCCTTATTTGCCTCATCCAGCCACAGGAAGGCCAGGAGGCTGAGTAGGAGCTGCATCGCTTGGTTAAGGTGGGCCAGTGTTAGATCAGTGGTCCCCAACCTTTTTGTCACCAGGAACCCATTTCATGGAAGACAATTTTTCCACGGCCCCGGGGCAAGGGCGGCGGGGTGGGGGTGGGGGTGGGGTGGGGGTGGCAGTGGCGGTTGGGGATGATTCGAGTGCATTACATTTATTGTGCAGTCACACCTCTCTGCTAATGATAATCTGTATTTGCAGCCACCCCTCAGTGCTAGCATCACCGCCTCAGCTCCACCTCAGATCACCAGGCATTAGAGTCTCATAAGGAGCACCCAACCTAGATCCCTCACGTGTGCAGTTTACAGCAGCGTCCGTGCTCCTATGAGAATCTAATGCCGCTGCTGATCCGCCAGGAGGCGGAGCTTACGTGGTGATGTGAGTGCTGGGGAGCAGCTGTGAATACAGATGAAGCTTCACTCGCTCACCTCCTGCTGTGCGGCCAGGTTCCTAACAGGCCAAGGACTGGTACCGGCCTGTGCCGGGCCAGGGCCTTGGGGACTGCAGTGTTAGAGGATGAGGATGATACAGTAACCTCCTCCTCCTTATCACTGTCATTTGTTAATAGGGACTGCAGTGATGGCGATGACTGACAGCCCTGCAGGGCATTTATCTTATTTTAGTTTCTCTCTGCAGAGGTGCTTTAGGACTTTATGATAGACCTTCTCGGAGCTGTGGTGATTTGTCTGTCATTGTTTTTCAGACCCGAGGTACTGTTTTGGTTTCGAAAGCTTGTTGGTGCTGCAGTGGGTGGTGGCTGCCAGATTCTCAGAGGAGAGGGCCCATTGGCTGGCTATTTCCATAGGTGCTGTGTTGGCTGCCCGTTCGATATTGATTTCTCGATTGCTCCCTGGAATCACACTGCATTATGCTGTGCTGGCCCAGGGCCTGTGTGGAGACTTTCACTTGTAATGTTTATTTTCTGAAAGCTGCTGACCCTCTCTCCTTTGGCTGCCCCTGTCACCTCTGCGGGGGCCCCCAACTTGTCACTGACATTCTTCCTCCTGCCAACTTTGTAAAGGTCTGAGGAGGACATCCACACTGATAATGTGCTAGGCACAGCAGTTTGGCTTTAGCTCTTCAAGTTGCTTCAGTCTTGGAACGAGTGGTGAGAGGGGCCGAGCCAAAGAAAGTCCTCAAAAAAAGATAATGCATTAACATCAGAAACCTGCAGAGTGAGACTCTGAAAACACCCTGGGAAGGAGAAATACACTGTATTTGGAAACAGAAATAAGCGTTAGCAGCCAAGTTTTTCTTTGCAAAGTTAGCACCTCCTGCATACTGTTGGGAGCTTTTGGTGGAGCTGTGATGATTAAGTGCAAGGAGTTGTACTCTTGAGAAACAGACTTGTAGAGGTCTTGGGAGAGTGCTAGGCACACATTATAGTAAACACCGTGTAAGTGCATGACATGACAAAACATGCAGCAGAACGAGGCCGGAAATGGGGCCGGAGGCGCAGAGACAGCCTCCTGCGGGATTTAGGGGAAGTTGTTGCTGATGGTACAGAACAAGATCCACCAGGGCCCAGGTCA